TAAGTTTCAGAAGCCCACTGGGCATTTAAGTGGAGATGTTGGGTAGGCTACTGGCTATACAAGTCTGGAGTTCAGATCAGGTCTGGAGCAAAGATCTAAATTTGGAAGTCATCAGTGTTAGATGGCGATGAAAGCCCCACGCTCCAATGACATCTCTGTAGAGCATGAGTGAAGAGAGAGAAGAGGTCCTAGGGCTTCGCTAGGGCGCTCCAAAATTTAGAGGTCGGAGAGGTAAGCTGGAATTACCAAAGGAGTGTGAGAAGGCACTGCTTGTGAAGCAGGAAAACCAGGAGTGTGTGATACCTCAGAAGCCAAGTAAGGAAAGCATTTCTAGAAGGGAGAAATGATAAACCACCCCTCAGTCTTTACTGATAAGGGTTTCTGAGCACCGGGATGAGAAAATGATGTGCTCCGTGACCCAGATGCGTTCAGTAAGAAAGGAACAGGTTCCTAAGTCTGAGGATAATCAGAGCTAACGTGAAGAATATGGTCTATCTACAAAGACAAGATGCAGAAAAACAGTCTAATGTAATGACAAGCAGATGGATTAGAAACTGCCTGAATGATGACACCGAGGGCACATATAAGTGAATGAGTGTCAACCCCAAAGGAAATGTCTAGTGACAAGTCATTGGGCTCTGTCCTTGGCATGCTCAACATATCAGTGGCTTTGATCAGTGATGACTAAACTTGACTGCAATCAGAACGATTTAGGAGGCTTATGAAAACAAAGCATTCCAGTGTCCACCTGGACCTACTGAATCAGTAGGTGGCACTGGGGCAAGGAACAAAAGGAAAGCCTGAGCAGCAGACAGAACCAAGAGAGAGGGTTGATCAAAATGTACAGCTAAAACCAAGCTGAGTGGAACAGGGAATGTGCTGGATGATGACTGGGAAAATGTGGAATCCTACATTTGACTCTGGATAGGGTAAACCAAGCTGGATCTGAGACCAACTTGAAGTCTCAGTAATCAACAGCGTGACCTCAAGCTGCAATGACAGGAGATGAGAAGAGAAGGGACATAATTCAGCCATACCCTCTTTGTCCCCTAAAGCACCTGTCGAGGGTCAGAAAGCATGACCAAAATGCTGAAGGGGCTCCACCCAATGAGAAGCAGATGTTTAGCTGAGAAACTCAGAAGGAACCAGGACTCCATCCTGATTACCTCAAGGGCTAACGTGTGGGGCTTATTCTGTGGGATCCAATAGGAAAGAGCCACAATCAGTGAGTGAAAACTCTTAGGACATGGTTCTATTTTGGTGGAAGGAAGGTAGGTCTTTTTAAGAGTAAGAGTGACCCAAAGGGATGGAAGCAGTTGAGTCCTTTACCATAGGAATTGTTTAACTTACATACACTCCAAATTAGCATTTGTTGCAATACTGTATTTTATGCATTATGTAAGTATTTTTTATATATATATATGCACACCCTTCCTAGACTGTAAATTCCCCAAGGAATTACATCCCCAGAGTCCAGCATGAGCCCTGTCTCATGCCATGTGCTCAATAAATGTCATCTGAATGAATGAGATGATCATGGCTGGATGCCATCAAGCCTGTTGTACAATTGCCAATCACGCTCCATCACTGTTAATAATCCTTCTAAAACAGCAGGTCCTATGATTTCTGAAAAACTACACATAAACCAGCTTTCCCTGGAGACACAGTCATCCTCTGCATCTTCACAGTAGATGTAGAATTTAGATAAAATGAATTATTTAATTATTATGTCAACAATAATATTTGCCCTGGGTTTAAAACTAAGCCTGGTATTAAGTATGAGGGGTAATAATTTTTGCCTCCAATGTTTCTGTACTCCACATCAAAACATGTATTAAGGAAATCTGATCCTTTCAGCTGTGACCTAGTTCAGAGACTTACCTTCTAGGCCTCCTTTCAAGAAGATGCACCGTATCTCTCCGTTGAGGAGAGGCAGGGAGTTACTGATTCATGCATACCTCCCACCTACTTTAGCTGGCTGTGGTTCACCTTGGAACCTCACCCCATCAGAAGCCTGGTTCAACTCAGAGGGTTAACCCAAAGGGTTTTGCAAGAACAGCCTTTGCAGTTACCAAGGCAATTAAATGCACATTATGCCCTCCTTAAGATACCTCAAAACAAAACCAATTCTCTGGTCCATGAATCAGAGCCCAGAACTCTCCTAAACTTTGAGGCAGCTTCCAAAGCTAAGATTTTGTCCTTGTCTCTATGTAGGAGTGGACATGCTATGGTCATGTGTCCAGAGGAGGGAGCCGCATCTGCTTCATACCAGGCACTGTCTTGGGGGCCACTTCATTTAAATTTAAATCCCCACTGCATAAAAAAGAAAAGGGCATCTCAGAGAAGTTAACACAGTTGTCCAAAGTCACACAGATAATAAATGGAGGAGCCAGTATTTGACCTCAGGTCTGTTCGGTCCAAAGTTGTGCTCTTTTCCACACAGCAGGCAGAGCGATCTTAAAACAAAAGCCAGATCAGGGCACTCTCTTGTCAAAATGCCTTAGTGACTTCTTCTCATCCAAACTTCTGCAGGACCCTGTCTGCTCAGGCTTCTGCCTGCCCCTCCTGCCAAATCTCCTACTTCTTCTTGCCCTTGTCCTCTCCTCTCCCTTCCAGTTCTACTGGCCTTCCTCCTGTTCCTAGGAACGACCACTTGGCTATTCCCTCTTCCTCCTGTTCCTAGGAACGACCAAGTCCCTGACTCAGGGCCACCACACTCGGCTATTCCCTCTGCCGGGAATGCTGTTTCCCAGACCTCTGCAGATCCCTCTTCATCCAGGTCTCTGTTCCATGACCAAGTCCCTGACTCAGGGCCACCCACTTGGCTATTCCCTCTGCCGGAAATGCTGTTTCCCCAGATCTCTGCAGATCCCTCTTCATCCAGGTCTCTGTTCCAGTGCCACCTCCTCAGGAGGCTGTTCCAAACCACTCCATCTAAAAGAGACCTCTCCTCCCACCACTCTCTAACTAGCCCTTGCCCTACTCTGTACCTGGATGCATATGCTTGGCTAGTTAACTGCTTATTGTCAGTGCCCTACTAGAATTCAACCTTCACAGGGGCAGGAATAGTATCATTCAAGGCTACATACCCAAGCCCAGGGCCTACTTGCAGCCAGTGCACATCAAACTGGGTTCTTGCATGTCCTCCTCTACCCTCTTCCTCCTCCGTTTGGTCCCAGTGCACAGAGTTCTGCTACACAGTAGCTGGGTGACCTTGTCTATATCACTCTCCAGAGGAACTGTCCATTTACTGATAGTGGCTCTGACAAAGAAGGGACTGCTATCTCATCTATCCCCAAAGACATCACCCTCTATTCTGATATTTGTGTGACATTGCTGCTGTTTTAGAATTGTGATTTTATCAAAGAGACACTGGGAGCAACTGTTGAAACAAAAAGATATTATATTTCACAAAAAGAGGGAAAAAAACCTTCAAAACAACCAATTGTCTGTTTATTGCTAGAATAGACAATTAGCTCATTTAATGCCTTCCAGGATTTTTTCAAAGCAGATAGAAATGGACTCTTATTAGAGTTATAAAAAGCTACGTGATTTGGCACTGAACCAACTACAGGACTTCTAAAAGTGGAATTTCTAAGATTCCACCAATATAACTCTCCAAGCTTACAAGGGGATCAAAGCAAAAGCTAATCATAATCCAAAAGGAAACCAGAATTCGACAGAAAAGTTTCCAGAGAGAAAATCATCTCTGCTTTAGGAACTTAATTTCTCTCCCTTCTCATATAATCACGGCCCTGCCTTATAACATTGCTGGAAAGTGGTTCATCTTCCATAAAACATTTTACATTCTGCAGAAGCATTCTGTAAATAAATAGAGGGCAGTTCGTTTCAAGAAAACTCAGGGTTCACTATGAGTTTTATTTGACGCAGTCTATCTGAACGCTGTTTTAGTTGTGGAAATTCCTACTGGCACTCGAGGGACTCTTGTTTGCTGGGCTTTCTTAGTTTTTCTCCCCTTTCCTAATACATATAACACTTCAAAGAAAACCTTGGCTTCAGGCCGAGGTCAAGCTCAAAGGGTGAAATGCCAAAGAGATAAGAGAACAGTCTTCTGGGAAAATTTAAGCTAACCTCTTAGTTCACAAATTTTAACCAATCCATCCACTCCCTCACTCTCACAAGGTGGGAGATAATGAAGCTTTCGTGTATAGCCAAATACCAGGACAGATAAAATGCTGCCATCACTTTCACTTCCAAAGAAGGGAGAAGAAAGGAGATCGGGTTTGTTTTTGAATTCCAGGGCTTAGCCTCAGTAGGGAAGTTGTAGAGAAAAAATTAAAAGGTGAGGATGAGAAGTAAAGGGGAGGAGGATTCAGGGCAGTGGTGTCAAGAGTGTGTCATTTAGAGTATAAACCGCCCTACTTAGAATATGCTACTCCCTAGTTCCAGATTTTTCCTTTTATGAAGCTGTATTTGATCATAAATTTTGAATATTCCTAAATGCTTTCAATCAGAAGACAAGTATTCACATTCTTTAGCATTAATAAGTTTATCTAATATTCAAACCCAAATTATGTCTACCTTCCTTCATGGGACATGCTCACAGCTTATCACATAATGCTCACACTAAAAAAATCATCTTTATGGCTTGAGTAATCTTCCAATGGGTTAAAACAAAAAGAAAAAGAAACAACACTACGGGTTTTTTAGTGATATTTAAAAGTGTTACTGAAATTCTTCTGCCAGAGTGAGGACCTGTTTCATGGGAACACATGCCTCTGGCTAACTGATAAAATTCCAATACATGTTCTCTGTTGTGCACATGTATAATTACTTCCGCAATTATTCTGATATATCGATCAGTTTAGGCTCCGTTCCCAAACAGTATTTGAAATATGACATTATCTTCCAAGAACACTTTTGTTAAAGAACGATGTTTGTTTATACTCTGTAGTTTCAAAGAGGAAAAGGAGATAATATCGTATAATGTGCAGCCTCTAACAATCCAAATGTGTGCATTTTCATGATATTCAACTTACTTTTTCATTCCACGCCCACAGTCCGATTCCAAGAAATGTTATTCCCAAAAACTGAAAGAGAGAAAGCAGTGTAAGTATAAGGGTAAACACCATGTTTTTACTAATACAAATTAGAAAGTTTTCAATCAATTCTTTTGCTACTTTACCTGGCTGAGAAATAGTTTTCTCTAAAATCTGAGTAACAATTTTTAACAACAACAACAAAAACATCCCAGAATCCCCTTGATTAAAGTTATTACAGCATCAAGAATGGTTATACAAATGGATACATACACAATAAAATATTATTCAGTCAGGTATATACATACATATACACATATATATACATATGTACATACAGACACAATGGAATATTATTCGGTCTTAAAAAAGAAGGAAATCCTGCCATTTGCAACCATATGGATAAAGCTGGAGGCCATTAGGCTAAGTGAAATAAACCAGACAGAGAAGATAAATACCACATGGTATCACTTACGTGTGGGATCTAAAAATAAATAAGTCAAACTGAAAGAAACAGAGAGTAGAAAAGTGTTTGCCAGGGGTGGGGAAACAGAGATGACAGGTAAAAAGGGTTCAAACTCTCAGTTATGAGATTAATATGGCATGAGGATCTAATGTATGATGTGGTGACTACAGTTGATAACAATGTATTGCATAATTAAAATTTGCTTAAGAGAACTTAAATGTTTTCACCAAAAAAAAGTTAATATGTGAGATGATGGAAGTGTTAAATACTTTCACCATGTAAACCTGTATCGAAACATCACGTTGTATGCTTTACATATCTTACACTTTTATTTTTCAATTAAACCTCAATGAAGCTAAAACATTTTTTAAAAATTTAATTAAAAAAAGAGGGTTGGTGACATGTAGGTACTTAGAAGTCATTCAGATTATAAATAAGTAGGTAGAATCTTAAATAAAATCAAAGCCACTGATAATGTTTAATGCTGCCTTTTAGTGCAGGGGAAGAAACAGTGCATGCCCCCATAAATCCAAGCCCAGCTTTCACTAGAAAATAGAAAACCAGGGACATGCATTGAGAAGAGCTGGAGATTCTCACCATCAAGCCATTATAAATGGGCCAGGTCAGAGAGGGCATGCAGAAACCCCCAACTGTCCCTCAACAAGCTCTTTATCAGTCCTTCAAAAGGTAACATGAATCTTATTAAGTCCAATGTGATTCAAAAAAATTTTCTGATTTTCCTGTTTTTCAGAAACGTCAATGACTTATATTGTAATTGAGAGGGCTTCCACGACACGACACAGCCTGGTCTCAACTCAGTGCCATAACTTCATGTATAACACAGAGCACAAAGATAACACGAGACAGAGTTAAAAGAACACAAGACAAACTCAGCCCCCAGGCAGAGGTGTCTCTCACACATAACCACGGATCTCAAGTGCAGTGTGTGTGTGGCGGGGCGGGGGGGAAGGCGGGGAGCGGAGGAGCATGTTAGTAACCAGGGGGACTTTCGGCTTTTAATTAGTTTTCACTGTATTCCATCTGCTCTAAGACACACATTCCACAACCCCGCCCCGTTATATTTTAACATTTCTGAAATTGGGATGTGTCTCAAATTGATGCTATCGCATAAGTTTTTCTTCCTGTTTGTACCAAAAATAATAGTGTGTCTGATAATCAAGGTGTCACAGATTTGACGACACATTGTACAGCGTTGTCCACTCACTAAGAAAAGCTCAGTAATTAGAATGTGATTAGGGTGTAATTGGCCATGAGGAAGGACTCATCTTTTTCCTCACCTTCGTTATCAATAGCAACTCTGAATTTCCTTTCCAAACACCGAAGTGAAAAGAGAGTGGGCAGGCTGACAAGCAGATGCAGTCTGCTGGCAGCAGCATACACTGTTTATTTTACTAACATCTTGATTAAGTTAAATGTCAGAGAAGCTGTCCACTGAGAGGAGTGTGAAAAAAAAAACAAGACTGAGGGTGGTCATTCTTTCCAGTTTCAGAGAAATCTGAGAACTGTCCACCTGGCAAGGTCTTTGCAATTCGCCCCAGGGGTGACACTTTGTAGGCATCAGCTAATAAATCCAACAGGGGCTGGGAGAAAAGCAGGAACAGAGGGAAGAGGGGACTTACAAGCACAAACAAACAATTGCGTGAGCTGAAAATGTGGTGATGTTTTTAAAAGTAAAACTTCTCGAATCTCCCAACAATGATCTGACACCGCAGTAAGAGTATGCAACACGTTCTGAGCCCCTTCATAGAAAAGCTTCAGCAGGTCCTTGATTTGGTAAAAACTGGAGATCCCTTTTTTCCTACGTTTGCTCTTAGAGATCTGAAAAGTGTTTGGAAAGATTTCTTGCTTTCGATATCCCAACAGAAATACTACGGTTGGCCCCTCCGCCACCCAGGTCAGAGTGCTACTTCACTTTACGTTTCCGACCCAGACAACAAAGGCGCCGGTCTCCCCAAAAGGCTTAAAGTTACCTGGGCAGTTGTGTACAAAAGTAAATCAGTTCAGCATGTTACTCTCTCATATTTATAGGTCCTAGGCATAAGAGGGTAACAGGTGACAAGTACACACGTAGGATCCCATCAGACCTAGAAATCACTGAGCACTTGACTTCACACACACTGACGTCAAACTCTTCCGGGTGAAATGCCTGACTTTCTAATGCTGAAGCTCTTTGTGGACAAACGTTCGACCATCTCCCCTGATGCAGTATTTAATCACAGTGTCACCACAAGATGGGTGAAATATTGTGGCAGAGGACATCGTGATCAGCTGTCCCTCTTGCTGCTGAAGAGGGTGGACATGTCATTGCTGAGGGTCCTGCCTAATTGCTAATATTTATTTCTCTTTATGACTTGCCAAGCACTGTGCTTTGTGCTTTGTAGGAAGTCTCTCTTCAGCATTGCAAGTTTATTTTAAAATAGGCACTATTATTAACCCCATTTTAAGAAAGAGAAAAATGAGGCTCACAGAGGCACACAGCTTCTTAGTGGAGCAGAGAAGTGAATCAAGAGAAGTCTGCCATCGACATACATGTTCTTACCAGTCCTGATAAATTCCCATCCCCCATGGGGCAGAAAGTTGAGGCATTCAGGTTAGAATTAGATGGGATAAGACCAGGACATCACATATTCTCTCCCCAGGAAGCAAAGGGGAATTGTAGAGGTAGAAAGAGATGAAAACCTTCCCTTCACTTAAGTACTGATTAAAGAAAAGAAATGTCCCATGCTGGGGTCAGCAACGGAGGAAAGTAGAAAACAGAGGAATTCCTAGCGGGTCAACATTCTCCTCCTCTTTAAATGTGTAAAGTTCTCTCTTCCAGGCACTTTGAAAATCCTTTGTCTTTCACGAACAACATAAATGGATTGGAAACCAATAGTTTCTCACAATAAGGAGAGAGGGGAAAAAAATGGGATTTAAAGAAGACTCACAGACAATCCTTCTATAATCTTGCTCCACTACTTCCTGCTCTGTGACTTTCCAAACAAGGGTTTAAGAATCTGGAGACAGAACACTGGACACCTAAGCAGGCGAACGGTACGGGCCGGGCCTCAACTTGCACATCCCTTCGGGGCTACGTCACTAGCAAATGTCCTCCCTGTTACTCTCAGCCCATATGTTTTGTTTTAAAATCAAGTTGTTCCAGCTCCAAATTCTTCAACAGAGAAGAGCCAAAAAACCAAAGACAGGCATGCAACACGAGGCACACTGAGTTCCCCCTTCCCAACCCCAAAGAAAAGACAGCCATAAACCACCAAACTGACCTTCTGAAACCCAGAGGCCAACTTACAGGGAACGGCTGAGAGCGCTTAAAGTCAACTCTATTCCTTTGAAACAGAAACAAAAACAAATCTGATGTATCCTCCCATATGGCAAAATGTGCAAACACACAGTACAAATGTTTATCCACACAATTTTTGATGTTTTAAAATTAATAACGATAGTTTTGCCAACATTTATTGAATGCTAAGTACGAGTTGGGTACTACTATGTTTTATATGAATTAGCTACAATAGCACTAATACAGTAGCCACTAGCTATGTGGAGCATAGTTCAAACTGAGATGTGCTCATAAGTATAAAACATACACTGGATTTAAAAGACTTAATAGGAATAAAAAGAATGTAAAATATCTCACTAATAGTTGTTTTATTATTGACTACATGTTGAAATAATACTTTAGCTACATTGGGTTCAATAAAATATATTAAAATTAATTTCACTTGTTTCATTTTACTTTAAAATTTTTTTTCCTTTTGTTTTTTTACATACAGTTACTGGAACACTTAAATTATATACGTGGCTTACACTACACTACGATTAAACAGTGTTGGTATAAAGTATCCCACAACAATCCCATACAATATGTACTGATATTATCCCCATTTTACAGAAAGGAAACTGAGACTTAGAAACTTTAATTCTCCCAAGATCATATAGGTGCCTGGGTTGGGTGGCTCAGGAAATATGAGTCCTCGGCCCAAGCTTAAAACTATTTTAGTACTTCCTTAATGTGCATAAAACACTTATCCAGACTTTAAATAAAGGACAGAGAACTATACTGACACTGACAGTCTTGTCCTAAGACGTGGAATTGCGGAATTGCTCCTTTAATTTCTAGGCATTCAAGGCGAAGGTATGTTTTCCTGACTTAGGAATGAGAATGGCACTAGGTGGAAACTGAGTGGCATGCTGATGGAAGCTTCCTGGGCTTTGCAGAACGAGAGCCAGCGGAGCTGATCCTCAGGAAAAGCTGGAGAGGAAAATGGCCCTAGTGTGTGACTAGGATGACTGAGCATCTCTGCCAGGAGGGACGCATCTGCCCCTCCTTTTCTCTGTGGCCTACGAACAGAAGACCTCTTCCTCCACTTGCTGTTTTCATTCTTGCTAAAGCTCCAACATCTTGGAAATGAACCAGTGCTCAATTCTAATTGGTACAAAAACAGATACTTCAAGAAGCCATTCATTCATCCATCTACAATTGTCAACAAATATGAGTTCCTACTTTGTGCCAGACGTTACTTTTCTCCTGTGATAAATGGAGATAATAAAACAGATACAGTCCTTG